GCTGTGGATTACTTGAACTCTCTGGACAAGGTAACCTTCCTTCCTTCCCCTCTTACTTTACTTACATGCTTAATTATCGATGAATATTAATTAATTACAAGGAAACAGAAGTGACCTGTGTTTTAGAGTGACGATACTTACGCGTGTATATCGGAGCATGGAATAGGGAGTAGGTAGGGGCGTAAAATCTGGCATAATTCGAGCGGTTATACGGTTCGGTCTGGTTTTTTTCCAGGAATATAGGATCTAAAGATGGAATTGGATACGGTTCGGTTTTGATCCAGTTCGGTCCGAATTTGATTTTGATTTTAGATTGAGCATGTGGAGGGTTTTGAGTGGGGGAGACCTGTAAGGGTGATGAGTTTATTAGGTTTTGGGTGTTGACCTCTTTTATCTGGTTTTCGATTTTCGGTCTCAAAGGATTTTTTAAACTCAAATCTAAACCCGAAGATGGGATTGAATTGTTTGCTATCCAAGTTCCGGTCCAAATTATACTATCCGGTTTCGGGTAAAATCGAAAAATCTGGACCAGTCATCCCTAATTCTTGTAACCATAACTGCCCCAACATTTATCATACGATATTACTGTAATTTCTTTTGGAGAAAGAAAGAAAGACAAATGTGAATGGGATTTATGGCCTCAGCTTTGGGTTACCCTATTTCACGGACTGATTGGCTTTTTGGGTGTGTTGTTTGGGGCTAAATATTTTATTTCAAATGACATATTTGGTTGGAAATAAGAAGAAAAAAAAATTGTGTAACATTTCACTTGTGATATTGTGAAAAGATCATAAGTATGTTATTGGACAAATATTAGGAGAGCTTATATTCTCCAAATAATAACTTTTCTCAATGATGTCCGACTTTTTAATATTTCCAATTACCCTCTATTTTTATGCACTTTTTGACCTAATTGGTTTTTTATTTTCTTTATGCGACCTATATTTTTCACTTTTCCCATAAGCATAATAATTTGTTTGTCCCTCTTACTTTAATTATGCCTAATACTAGGGTGCGGTTACGATGCTAATTGTACAATAGTTAGCACCGTCCTAACCAAGGGAAAAACTACTACTAGTTTGAATTAGTAGTGATTTAGCTTAGATGTTGTATTGATTTTATAATAATCCGTAGTGTTTTTTGCTAGTTATCACGGTGCTAACCCCTATAAGAGTTAGCACCTAATCTCATTCCCTAATACTAATGAAGATTCAATATGTCTGAACCAACATAGTTAGCAAAATTTTGTTTAATGTACATGTATAATTCACATACTATTAAATGCATTTTGAACTTAGGTGCAGGTTTTTCGTCAAAAAGAAAAAAACTTAGGTTCCTATATTATTGCTCAACCATCTAATTTATTTTGGTTTGTTTGAAGCTTCTCGTGTTGAAAATGTTTAGTACACCCATCTCTATCCAGATCCACATGCGTGCCTAGGTAGGCCACTAGCAGACAAAACTTGACCCATTTAAATCAAATACTTATTGAATCGATTGATCAAACATGAAACTAACAAATGACACAAACGCTATGATGTATGTAGGCTATAATATTACCATATTTGATCTCAACATGAATTTTCAGTGATTAGGAAGCTGATTTCGTCTTTTCGTTTCATTACGGGATAAATTCATAAAAAAACGATAAATCCCGAGTCTCATAAGCACCAAATGAGTCCTTATTGATTTCTTCTTTTTCTTTCCCTGATGTGAGTGGGACGATTGTGATTAGGGATGACAATTATCCACATGCGGGTAAATTTACCCGAATCTAAGCAGACCCATTGATTATGGGCAGGGTATGAGTGAACTAGATATGAGTTTGGGGGTCTTGTAGATGAGTTGGTAGAGTATGAATATTGTTTTCATACTCTAAATGGGCATGGCTTGAGTATGGATACTCATTTACTTGAGGTAGTTAGTTAGTTTTAACTACGTATACAAACATTTGACCTATTTGTAAACTTAAAAAATTTAGGTATCAAAATGTAATTAACAGAAAATTCAGGTACTAAAATGTAAATTTCCATCAATATTTTGAGGATTTGTATAAAACAAATTATAGTTACTAAATCTAAATATCTATTAAGTTTGTACCAAAGTGTAATGTGCATAAAGGAATGGATTAAAAACCTAAATTCATGGAATTAAAAATCAACTCAATTCAAATAAATGGGTTTGAGTATAAACCCATCAAACTCTACTCAGTATAAACCCATCAAACTCTACTTATTTACTATGCATTTGGATTTTCAATCCAACCCGATTGATGGATAGTAAAATATTTATGGCTATGGATTGTGAGCTATAAGCTTGAATTGTAATTTTCTTGTGCCCCAATTGACAATGACACTTGGACTTGGTTATCACAAATTAAAAAATATATATATATATGGACAGGTAAGCCAATTGCATCATTGCCCCAGTTGAATTAATTCCCTTGGCATCAACATCACTAAAACTTTTGAATTATTAGCAACTTGTGAGTTGTGAATGGTCAATTTCTTTCTTCTACCTGTACCAGGTGTTTGTGAACGATCAATTCCTCAACTGGGATCCAGAACACAGGATCAAAGTCAGAATCGTTTCTGCCAGAGCTTACCATTCCCTCTTCATGCACAACATGTAAGTTCAACCCCCTTCAAACAACTCAACTACACACAATCACATTCGTTTCTCAACATTTATGGTTGTTCTATGTACAACGACGACTTTGTTGCAGGTGCATTCGGGCCACTCCTGAGGAGCTGGAGAACTTTGGAACTCCGGACTTCACCATATACAACGCGGGCCAGTTCCCCTGCAACCGTTACACTCACTACATGACCTCTTCCACCAGCATAGACTTGAACTTGGGGAGGAGGGAGATGGTGATTTTGGGCACCCAATATGCTGGGGAGATGAAGAAAGGGCTCTTCGGCGTCATGCACTATCTCATGCCCTTGCGTGGGATCCTCTCCCTTCACTCTGGCTGCAACATGGGCAAAGATGGAGATGTTGCCCTCTTCTTCGGCTTATCAGGCATGCTTCCAATAATCAATCCATCAACTCAAAATTGATGAAAGAGAGTAGCATTGCTTGTGTTTGTGCCTTAGCCTTTGTTCCTCATAGTGCTAGGTTCCCATTTTGCCTGCTATGTACAGGGACTGGAAAGACTACCCTTTCGACGGATCATAACAGGTACTTGATTGGAGATGATGAGCATTGCTGGAGTGACAATGGCGTGTCCAACATCGAGGGTGGTTGCTATGCTAAATGCATTGATCTTTCTGCGGAGAAGGAGCCTGATATCTTCAATGCCATCAAATTCGGAACAGGTAATACTCTTTTCTGTTTCAGGGTTGGATCAATTTATGGTCAGGACTCAGGAGGCTAACTCTTTTTCGTTTCTATGGGATAGTGTTGGAGAATGTGGTGTTCGACGAGCATACAAGACAAGTGGACTACTCAGACAAATCAGTCACAGGTAAAACTAGAGGATTCTCACATCCCTTGTTCAGACATTAACTAGCATTTTTTTGTGTGCCTTTTTGGGCTGTGATTCTTGTTTGCAGAGAATACAAGGGCAGCTTACCCTATCGAGTACATCCCTAACGCCAAGTTGCCTTGCGTGGGACCTCATCCGAAGAACGTAATCCTTCTGGCTTGCGATGCATTCGGTGTGCTCCCACCCGTGAGCAGGCTCAACCTCGCGCAGACCATGTACCATTTCATCAGCGGCTACACTGCTCTGGTACTACTCCCTCACTTCAGATCTTTCCTTGCGGTATCTCGTTCTCGTTCTCGTTCGTTTACCAGACCGAATCGGTTAACAAATGCTAACACCTCCTTTAATGGCTTGTAGGTGGCTGGGACAGAAGATGGAATCAAGGAGCCACAGGCCACCTTTTCAGCCTGCTTTGGTGCAGCCTTCATAATGATGCATCCGACTAGGTATGCAGCAATGCTGGCTGAGAAGATGCAGAAGCATGGAGCTACCGGGTGGCTCGTTAACACCGGCTGGTCTGGTGGAAGGTGACATTTTTTTGCCCTCGACTCTTTGCTCTTTTGGTCTTTTTAGAGATCGACTGTGTTTCTAAGTTTATCATCCTTTCTTCTTCTTTTGGGCAGCTATGGATCTGGGAGCCGTATCAAGCTGAGCTACACTAGGAAGATTATCAATGCAATTCACTCTGGTGAACTTCTGGAGGCAAATTATACCAAGACCGAGATCTTCGGGCTTGAGATCCCATCTTCAATCGAGGGTGTTCCTTCTGAAATCCTTCAACCCGCCAACACTGTGAGTGTTTTGCTTGCTATCTTCTTTTCCTCCCCCTACTTGTGTTTGGCCGCAGACTGAGATGCTGGATATTTTTGGGGTTTGCAGTGGTCGGACAAGAAGGCTTACAATGAGACGCTGCTGAAGTTGGGAGGCCTGTTTAAGAAGAACTTCGAGGTGTTTGCTAATCATAAGATAGGGAAGGATGGGAAGCTCACTGAGCAGATTCTTGCTGCTGGTCCTGTATTCTGATCGAATCAGGTTTCCAGAGAAGATGGAAATAACGAGGCCGGATGAGAGTATGAGTTGGAGTTCCGAGTCGATGTGGATACGTTTCTGGTGAAACATTTTTTTCAATATTTATTTACTGAGGATTTGTTATGAATAAGCTTATTACATGGTGATTCTCGAGTCCTCCCTCCCCTGTATGGTTCTTTTTCCCCTGTGACTGTAATTCATTCATTAGTAAGTAAACGAGGAACACCCTTAATAAATAATAAGAATTAAATTTCTTGTTCGGTAAGGAGTTCTTCAATCAATATAAGATGTACAAGCTGATCATTGATCACTTGATAGTTGTCACAAACAGAAAACAGAAAAGAAGAGGCCAGAGTTAAGAAGTTACATCACACAAATCACAATGGAAGAGTATGGTGCAACAGTTAGGAGCTACAAGAGCCAAAATTTGAAAAGAGAGGCTTGATAACCGGGAATTCAAGCAACCACTGGGGACAAAAGTTCATATGATGTTATGTGCATTCGATGCATTTCCAAGTTCAAACTCTATAATCCCTTTGTCAGCTCCACAGAAATTGTACATTTGATGTTCAGAACAAATTGAGAACACTTCCTCAATCTTTATTTCTGTAGTTCAAAAGGGCGATGTCTGATGACATAACTTTTACAGCAGCATAATCAACTATGCAAAATTAAGACTCACTTGATGAGGCTGTATCATCTTTGTGCTTGATCATCCCAGAATCCACCAGAATGGGAACTTCAGCTGCCAGCCATGGAGCAAGTCCCAAGCACAGTGCATGTGCAATGCCAAATCGGGGACTGAAAAAAGTTGACAAAAAGGCACAAAGATTTTGTTTCCTGTTAATGCAGTGAACCGATCTCTAAAATCTGGGTCTCAGGCTTCCTATCTTACATACTACAAATATCAGGAGAATGTTAAATCTGCAGATTGCTAAACAGAACTGACTAAAAGGCATTCGACCCTATGAGAACTAGTGGACTCAAACTATAGACTAAGCTTTTATATGGAATGATTGCTTCTATATTCATAGCATTGATCTCTGTATATTCAGAGTATTTATCTTCTTTTGCTCAGGTAAGGTGGCATTTCAAATCAAATCACATCCAGATATTCTTCATCCTCATATACAAATTAAAATTTTGAAGTAGTGTCATTCAGATCGTCACCGCGTGACAAAAAAGTCGATTCCTTACAATCCAAAACATCACATATATAACAAATCAGTAATTAGCATACTAACAATCAGATGCAATAGAATCAATCAAGTCCCTGGTAAAGAAAAGTCCAATTCATAGTGAAGGAAGCCACTTCAAGCCAGCCTATTCTGTTGATCCAACCCGGAAGAGCTAGCATTGCGACCATTAATTCAATACTAATAGCTCCTAGCCTTTACTTCTATGTTTCCACTATTCTATATTCTGACTGCATTTCCATTTCCATATAAAAGCAACTCATAATTCTGAAAATTGGAATTGATCAAACTCCAGGAGAACAAGAGCTATTGTATTGACTCCATTCAACATTACGAAACCAGAAGCCATAGCAGCATACCTATTCTTCGCCCACAGTGGCTTGAAATGAATAGTCAGACAAATCTTCCCTCCTCGATACATCTGCAGAACACCAATACACCCACTAATCAGAGACCGATTACCCACCACAAAGGAATGGGCAAAAATCAACCTAAATCCAAAAGAACAGAGCTTTTACCTTCTGGGTCTTGCCGTCAAGCTGCGGAAGCTCGAGCTCGGGGGCAGTGGAGGGGTAAGTAACCGGGATATCGAACTGAAGATCGAATTCGTACTTGAGAAGGTTATGAACATACCAGCACTTGCCGGTCCACCGTGTCCCCTCGGGATTGGCGGCGGAAATTCGGAACCAATCGTTGTCTTTGGACTTGTTCATCTGGGTGTAGGCGATCAGAGACTTGTATTCCTCCTTCAGCCTCTGCGTCCATGCCGCTCCGTCTCTTGGTCCAGCTTTCGTTGTTAGCAGCGGGATCTGTGTTAGAGTCGATTTCGTATTCGGATCCCACCCCTCCATGATCACGGGCTTCCAATTTTTGGCCAACCCTGAACCCTAATTTGACAAATTTTTCGGCGGGAGTAGACGAGGGAGATCAGATTGCCGGCCCCAATCGTATAAGTTCATCCCATAGGAGTCAAAACAAAGTCGGATCCGACCACAACCCAAATTGAGTAATACGTTTGACCAGTAATCTGATTGGTCCATAACTTGATTATTACGCAACCCAATTAATTCGAAACTTGGTTAATCCGAACCCGATTGACCTACAATCTCATTTAAATCGTAACCCAATTGACATGCAACTCAATTGAGCCGAACGCGACTAACCCAAATCCGGCAGATTGGTCTTAATAATTACTGACTTACTGTATTTCATAATATATAGTCTTTCAAAATGAGGTTTTCGCTCTAAATCTAAGACAAGACATTTTTCATTTCATAAATGGAAGTTCAAAATATGGAATTCACTTGGGCCAATTGTCTTATTTTACAAAATGAGTCATTGAAAACGAACCAATTTGAATTGTCTGCCCCCACCCCAGACAATTGTTATTGCCTCAAAATGAGTCAATTTGAAATTCTCCAGGTAGAATTGCTTCATCTAAATTTGTGCTGCCAAATGGATCAATTTGACCAGATTCTCTCAAAACGAAACAATTAGGTGAAAATGAGCTCTTAGAATTTCTCATCCAAACGACCCTCAAAATTATGTATTTAAAAAAAAAACAAAAAACAAAAAACAATGAAGTTCACTTAAACATTAATTTCTTGAAAAAAAATATAGTTGGAAACTTCATCCATTCAGGTGGTGTGACAAGTCGATTTGGAGCTGTAGTGGAAGCTCTCTACCTTATCTTGTTGTTCATGTTTCTAATGATACATTTAACGTTATTAATGTTTCTTCTGAAAATGGATTTTCATATGAAAGTAGTAAAGATGACTATATTCTCACTATAAAAAATGGTTACATTAGCCACAAATATAAGATTTTAGATACGAAAAGATTATAATTATTTTTATTTTTTACATGTCAATTACCAACTTCTTTCTCCTTTCAATCCCAGTTTTCTTCTTTTCCTGTCCATAAAAAAATATATCAATTAAATTTTTCTACGAAAAATTAGATTAATAACTATAGTCTCTTAAATAAAAATTTGGGTAAATACAATTTAATATCCAAACCTTTTATTTTAAACAATATAATAGCTAAACCTTTTCGAAAACAATCTAATATCCAAATCGTCAACTTTCTGTCTGTTTGACCGTTAGTTGACACTTCAAAAAAGTTTGAAGTACGACACTTCATCAATATCCATCGATATCTTCTCTGAAAAACCACCAACATATCGTAGTTCCAAACCCGAGAAATCCATAACTCCACCATGATGGTATAGAATATCTAAATATTCAGTCATCTGCAATGCCAAAACAAGAAATAAAGTTGTATTGTGACAATTTTCCCTAAACAAAGCTTTTTTGAAGTGTCAACTAACGGTCAAACGAACGAAAAGTTGACGATTTGGTTATTATATTGTTTTCGAAAAGGTTTGGCTATTATATTGTTTAAAATGAAAGGTTTGGATATTAAATTGTATTTACCCTAAAAATTTTGGTGATATACTTTTTAAAGTTAGATGAGCTGGAGATACAAAAAAAATATAAATACTAGTAAAATTAGAATAATGACATATGTGAGTATATATAGATCAAGCATTTGGTATGTAAGATTTATCAAATATCATTTGTTGATGTGACGTTTTCCAAATACATGGTGCCAATAAATTTGGCAAAAATTCGTTGCCCATTGATTCACATATTTAATATACATTCTTATGAATCTTCAAATGCGAGAGTTAAACAAATCTCTTAGGTTTTGGATTTATATACCAAATGCAATACTAAACTCTATTATCTAAATGAGCTATATATTTATTTTAAATTTCCAATATTTTATTTTCCTGAAAGCATCATCTTATTTAGAATTTTCAATTTTCACAATACGTGATTGTATGTTTGAGCCATGGAGTGGGCTGTTTAATAAAAAATCTATAAAACAATGTTTAGAACATTTAAAGTTTGACGGTTATAGTACCCATAAACTATCATTAATGTCAATTCTTAACAACCCCAACTTTTTTTTAAGATACATATTAGTTACTAATGAATTAGTATTTAATGATTTAGTATTTAACTCCATTAGATGATGGATTTTATCCTTCCATATTAGCAATAGGCTAATCGCTTGAAGTTTGTAACTACTATTTTTATGCGTAATTGTGTTAGTTCCGTTTGAATTTAATAGATAAACAAGTTAATAATACTGGTATGAAGAAATACTTTTAAGCAATTTATGTTACCAATAAGTGGTGCAATGTTTTTAATATGAAATATATACAGACATTAGTAAATAATGATAACTGATCAACAAAAATCCATTTGATCTCATTATTATCAATGTCAAAATTATCTAAGTAGTCAAAATATTACTTACTACTCTTTGAGAGTACCCAAATCAATTGAAAATATGAATTAATTAATTATAATGAAGTATTGACAAATCAGATGAATGCATTCCATCAACGAGTCTAATAAAAGCTAGTTTAAAAATATGAAAAAACTGATCAGCAAAAATAGAAAACAAAATTCATCTGACCAGCAAATAAGGTAAAAGCTAGTTATTTATTATCATACAATTACATAATTCTTTTAAATTTTACTTTTAAATGGGAATTGCATGGTTAAATTTAGTTATTATTTATTTTCTTACCTCTACATCTACACATAATCTACATCTATCTATACTATATATAAAGCAGATTAATGGGTTAAATTTTCTCTATTTCAAATTTCTAGCAACCAGAGTGAAAGTAGAAAGGGTATTTTGTCTTCACAATTATTTATTTCGTGTAAAAATATATCAGCACCAAGATTTGAACCATAATCTCTTTAAATAAAGACAAGAAACATAACCAATATCACTAGACAAATATGTTGTATACTTTGTATTAAAAAACATATATGAAGTTAAAATATGAAAAACAAATGACTTTTACATAACGATAAGCTAGCTCACTAAGTCTTCTGTAGGTATCTTTATGGTGCTTGATACGTCAATTTTCATGTTTAATTATTTTAGTTCTAGACTATCCTCCAATCTATAAAATATATGAAGGAGATTCATGGGTTAAATTTTCTCCATTTCAACTATCCAGCACCCAAAGTGATTTTTGTAAGGAAAAAATGCCATTTACAACAGTTTAATGGGAATGCCTTCATCACCCTACTTCCTCCTAAACGGTTGCACAGTTGATCAAAACTTCAGAATTCATCTACACGCCCAATCTTCTCTATTTTCACTTGTCAAACAACAAAAAGATGGTATGTTTTTTTTTATAAATCCAATTATCAAACCAAGTTTTTTTTTTTTTACAAGTTAAGTTCATTAAGAGCAAATGGGCCAAGCCCAGTGGAAAAGTTTACGGACAATTAAACAACAACAAGCTAAAAGACTAAAACACAGGCCCAAACAAAAGTCCAAGAGACTCAATAGAGCCCAAACCAAGGGCCAAAACAAAGCTTTAGTCTTCTAACCCTAACCGTTCAATGCCCTCCTCTGGAACCTCCGCCGCCATTGCTGGAAAAGGACCACCGCCGCCACCGGCCAAATCCAAAGGAACCAGCCACCCCGAGTAGAGGGATGAGGAAAGGAGAACCTCCACACAAGCCTCCCCGAGCCAATCATCTTCTGCATCTCGGCGACCATTCACAAGAGAGCACATCAGAGCAATCGAACGACAGATGGTGGCAACAGAGGAAAACACTTATGTCTTCAAGCTCTCCAACCGTGTCCAAGCCAATGGCCGCATCTCCGAATCACAAGCACCTGCAAAGTGAAGCAGGGAGGTAGACAGAGGAAGGACGAGGAGAAGACAAGCAAGAACTAAAAGATCTAGCCTCCTTTGCATCTTAGAGCACACACATCTCCAGATCTGAAAAATCAAATCAGAGGGAAAAAGATCATCCCACGAAGGGGGAGGAAGGAAACCCACAAGGGAAGGAACATGCACAGATGAAAAGAAGCGAAACGAAAAAGCTGGAACATGCGAAAGAGAAGAGAAGGAAGAGAGTGGAAGACTACACTACGAAAGGAAGGACAGACTGCAAAAACTGAAAGAGTGGGGCGGAGGGCTGCCGCCGGTCGCCGGAGGGACGCCGGCAGTAGCCCCCATGATTGCCTCTGCTTGGGAAAGAAGGAAGGAAGTAAGAGAGAAGGCAAAGAGAAAAGTTAGAGAGAAGAAGACTTTTGAGGTATCAAACCAAGCTACACATGAATGAAAACGTCAGCTATCATTATTCTAATAAAATCCCCAATCTTGAATATTCGCATACCATTTTCGCTTCCATAATATGATACTAATCGTTGGTTACAATTTACTTCAATCTAATTTTGGCCTTTAGATTAATCTAACGATTTTATTAGGCCGTATTAAAATAAAAATTTATACGATTTGGATTACGATACAAAACCTAGACATAAAAATCTCTACAAAATCCCAATCATAGAACCATTTATTGAACGGACATGCATTTTTAACAACAATAGAGTTATTTTTAACAATTATTATATTAGTTTTAATTATGCGAGTTAGTACCTATTTCATTTTGTGTGATGTTAACAATTATAAATAATGAACATAAATGTTCATTTATAAAATAATTTATTAATGATATCATGAACATCAATAATATGAACAAACAACATAAATAGACAACTAAGATATTGGATCATATTGTCAATAATGAAATTATGTATTATTAATAATCTACAAATTGAAATGTGGCCAACATAAGCCAAATCGTTAACCATATATATCTCATATAAATGGGAAGCAACCAATGAACGAACTGTCGCTGAAGCAATTAACACTGAAGTATGAATATGATCAACAGTTAATAAATGAAGCTTCCAAACTTTGACATCATCTGCAGCAAAAGAATAAGATGGCGGACATATACGAAGCAACAATGACAATTATCGAATCTATTCCCTGTGATCAATGATATCAACTTCGTCTAATGCAAATCCCTCTTGGCCGCCTAACCATCCAAACCCCCAACATTTATGTTTCTAACACAAAGTTCCTTTGACTCAACTAAAGACTCTGGTTACACATAGTCGTGTTTGAGAGTATCCACATGATCACTTGGGTTTCTCCTCGTACTATACTCCTATATGGTCGCGCCCCTCATGATGATAATCATGGGATCTAAGCTAGACAACGCACGTGGGAAAGATGACAACGAATTGCATATGTTACCTTATGCAACAAGGTCGCTTTCTGGACATGTATTGCATGCGAGACATAAACATCTCAACACAATAAGTATAGCAAGGCGAACTAAAAAAAAAACACGCATGCATGTAACCAAGAATCAATGATTAAGTCTGGCTACATATGACCTGCTTGATTCTTGTCAAGTTTGATCCTGCTTTTGTTCATGGTGTCTCTGCAAACCAACATGCAACATAGACCCTACGGATTTCTCCCTTGAAGTAGTCGTGCGGTTCAATTGATTGTGAATGATTGTCATTTCCAATCTCATCTATCCGCAAAGTCGGATAGGAGGATCTCCTTTAAAGATAGTTCTTGTCTTGAACACGCAATCGAATTGCCAACAAACCAAACATGGAATCAAGTAGAAAGATAGAAGAAGTCAAATCAACATATATAAACCAAACATCAATTGTTACACCATCAAAGAACCTCTAGGGTTTGCCAACCTATGAAACTAAGGGAACTATCTAGTCATAGGACTGATTTCTGGGTTGTCACCGATTGAAACGATGTTCCCGAAGAACCTCTAGAATCGGTGGCTAAAATAGAGAAATTGGGCTTGAGGAAGCTGATTCTGCCGCTGATTCATCCAAGTTAATCTTCCTGCCAAATCGAGACCAGAACTGCAAACTGTAGGAAATAAATTGGATAAATTTGTTCTGTTGCATTGTTGTATTACTTGTCTCCGGTTCACCAGACAGCTCCAGTGACGACATGACATGATAATTAATTATACGGCTGAGAGAGCAATGCAAGATAGAAAAAGGCCGAAAAATTGGCCAACAATATAGTTATATAGAACACAAGTTCGCAGACAAATAAGTTTGCAACTGGTACGAGGAGATGGGATGAAGTATTGAGGTTCCACGACCAGGACAAAGAGCTAATTCCAAACCTTTCTTCCCGAGGAGGAGGAAGAAGGAGAAGCCTGCAGAAAGGCCACATGTCAGCGTACACGAATCCTGACCTGAAGTACAATTCTTACTCTGACAACGCCTGGAGGGCAGAGGTGCCCCAAAGCTTCAAACCAATGGAGGAAAAATAGTCCCAAACGCCAACAAATGCAAAATTTCTGCTAACCCAAAAAAATAAAACTCTCTCCAGTCTCTGTGCTCTTGTATTTGTTCTTTTTTTGACACAAGAAGCTGAGGATCCCCTCCCTTTAAGATGGATGCCCTGCCCTGCCCAGCCCAGCCCTGCTATATATTCAACACTGACAAGTACTGAAAAGAGATCGACAGAAGAGCAACTCCCTCCTCGCTTGAACAAGGGATATCTGCACCCAAAAAGAAGACAAGAGAAGCTACTCTTTATTTCTCATCAATCTGCTTCCTACTTATTTTGACCTCTGTGTGAACTTCAAAACTAAAAACTACCATGGATTGATGCATTTGGTTATGAGTGTGTACCTACCTATTTTGGCATCAAAACTGCATGTCCAGAACTCTGTCCCCTTAGATCGGGAGAATGACATCGAGGTTCTTTTGGAGAAGCCAGCCTTCCGGGTATTTGGTACCACCGAAATCTAAATGGAGGTGCCAGTTAAGTATCTTTGAACAACCAGAAGGCACCGATTCCATTTGGCTTTCGTCCTCCACCACTTGCTCTATGAATGTGGTCTCCTGCAAAGTAAGAACATAGTTATTGCAGTGCATCAGGAACAACTTGGAATAAATACAGCAAATTCCTGGGGGGGGGGGGGGGGGGGGGGGGGGGGGGGGGGGCGGGGGGCGGGCAAAGATATAGTACCTGGAACCCTTCCTTCACTGAATCTAATTGCCTGATCGGGTTTTTAAAAGGACGCTGCCACCTCTTTGGATCCCACAAGATGGTTGTGTTGAAAGCAAATCCCGACATATCGACATGAAATCTTCGGAGTCGTTTGCTTTTCTCATTTGTATGCCAACCGATCACCTGAGTTTCGTTGCACACTGGGCCTTCAAGGATTGCTTTGTTCTTACTTTGCGCAAGCATTGCCACAGGCCAAGTGCCAAATCGGCTGCAAAGGTACAGAAGAAAAAGGGTATTTTTAGTAAAAGACAAAGAGATTATCAGTAGCCAGATTATACTCGCTGCATGATAGTGCTAGCCTAACAATGGCAAAATATAAGAACCATTTATCTTTAGTAACTGTGGAGAATACTGCAACAGAATGTTACAACTTCTCTAGTGTTTTTCCCTTTACCACAGTTTTGGGTAAGGGGGGAGAACCAAACATATAAGGAGTTCCGCATTCTAGATCTATGACTTCGCCAATGTGGTCTACTGCAGGTGAAAGCATATACTCTACGGATTGATAAACTAGAAGTTCAAGATAAAATCTATAGATGTAAAGTTTGGAACCAAATGGTACACAGTTTCACAACTGGCAAAATCAGTTTTACCTTAACTATGCATAGAAGTGAGATGCAAAGTGTTGAAAATGACTGCCCACAGATTATAAAACATACAGGAATGCCAAGGTACATGCTTTTTACTTCCGGTATGAAAATAAACCAAGGAAATCAACGAATATATTGAGAAAACAAGAGTAACATATGCCACAAATAAGCAGATATCGTCAACCACAGAACTCCAGCCTAGAGAGGAGAAATATGGAATAGCCAACTCACTAACATTAATGTCTACACTTGAGAGTAAAGTGGTCCATCAATATCAACCAACCTACATACTCTAATACAAGCCATCAGTCCAAGATGAGTCAAACCCTTTATTTCAGTTAGCTAGTTCGGATTTTCAGCATGCGGATTTGATTAAGGCAGAAGCAAGGGGAACACGTACCTGATTTCTCTTAGCCTCTCGAACAATTCAAGGGTATACACATTATCATCATCGGCGAAGTAAACAATCCCATCGAGCTTATGCCTCTCAATATGCTCAAGAGCTACATTCCTCTGGTGAACACCTCTATCCTTCACATTCGTCAAGTTCTTGGTGCACACTAAATGCCTATACATGACGCTAGTTTTCCTCAATATCTCCGCAGTCTCCATGGAAGCAGCATCGCTCTCGACCACAATCCACAACAGTGGAGGCCGCACCAATCGCAGGACTTGGCCTAACCTACTCAAAAAATAACCCTGAGAGGCACGGTTATACGTCGGAGTGACAACGATGAGTTGCTTCCTCGGCAGAAAATCGAAGCGGGAGGGATCATCTCCGGAAACCTGAGCATCAAGGCCCAAATTGACCGTCTTAATGGGGGAGTCGTCGTCGAGTATGATGCTCCTCTTATCAATATCTTCGTCCAATCTGACGTTGACATGAGTCGGCTTGATCTCGAACGAGAAATCCTGGCCGTGGATATCGTTATCGACCTGGCCAAACGGGAAGACACCTAACACGCAACCTAAAACGAAGAAGAGCAAACACCTGTACAAGGATCTACCGAAGCCTCCTTTGCGTCTGTGGGGGAAGGCGGCGGCGAGGAGTCGACCGAGGTAAGCGGAGGGCGCGGCGGAGAAGGAGGAAGAGTATTTATTAGCATTGCTGGAGACGGAGAGCGGGGAGGAGGTAGAGTTGAAGGCGGCGTTGCCGTTCTGGAAGGGAGAACGGTCGTGGTGCGCCGGGGAGAGCGTGCGGCGGATCGAAGCCATTTCCGATCGATCTGACTCAGTCCGGAGATGCATTCATTGATTCGACGGAATTGAACTTGGGAGTAGAGAGGAGCTGGAAGGTTGAGTGTCTCAGGGGAATTGACTACTGAGTTGAAATTTGAGTGCAGAGCTGGCTTCTGTTTGAGGACTCAGTGACTGGAAGTCGGAAATGGTGGCGGAGGAGAGGGGGGAGGTCGCCGGTGAAGTGAGATCTACGGAGGCGAGGGGAGATCGGAGGGACAGAGTTTAGGTTTTCCTTTTCCTTTTCCTTTTTTGTTTTCTCCTTTCTTTTGGCTTGTGTATTTGGATGAAGGTTGTTTTAACCGCGGGGGAAGAGGGAAAGTGGGGGGAAGCAGAGAGAGAGGAATGCTTGGCTGTTCTGCACGTGCTGATCCAGTGGGAATGGGACGCGTTGAGTGAAGCTCATGGTGGAATGTCGGCCGGTTGGACCAGATTCAATCGGTTCTGGTTATGAAACTAGCGTGAATATCATCGTATGATTGGCATGATCAATTTTTGACATATTAACGAATGATATTGTTTTAATAGATTTAATTAATAAAAAATTAATTATGATTTATTTCATGAACTTAAAAGTTAATGTTGATGTTTTTTATTGGATTTAAGTATAAAGTTAGGGTGTTGAAGTTAAATGTTGTAGTTGGACTGAATTCAATTGGTCGAAAGGATTGGCCGATGGCGATTGGAGAGTGGAGTCCGAGATGCGCACTCAATAGTCATCAGCACTCGCCCAGGCAGAGGAGACAAGGTCACAAAAGGAATGGGATAGCGTGATTACTAGAATTCTAGTAGCCACCGTGGCTACTTCAGTATCCCCCATTCATTTTTCTTTTTTCCCCTTTTTTTAATCTCACGGTTAAAATTATTTCAGGGTAATTTTGGAAACAAAAAAAGACCACATCTGATTATTCTATATATTCTATCCAAACCCTAATTCTATCCTTTCCTCCCTCCAGTTAAAGCCTATTTCTACCATCCCCTCCCTCCAGCCAAAACTGTCGTAGCCACAAGCTCCGCTGACCGCCTCCGCCACTCCTGTTGCAGTTGTCCCGCCGGCCGCCTCTACCAACCCCATCGCACGTCTCCACCAGCCGTGAGCCCGTGACGCACTAGCCTTGAATCTTGATGTCCCATAAACCCAGTCATCCTCCGTTGTCGAGCCGCGAATCAGGTGGCTTTGTTCCAATTATCATCGTTAGAGAGAGAGGGGGGATGGAGAGAGTGCGTCACGAATTATATATATACATACATGGAATGTGTTTGGCCAAATATTGAGACACTTGGGCCCCCAGGTCCATGGTCACCCCAAAGCCCATGAAGAAACGATTTGGGCCCGAACAGGGGCAATGAGCCTCTAAATGGGTCCAAGGCGGTCTTTCTTTGTGGGCATGGCAAGACCGCCCGACAGAAGTAAGAGACCGCCCGACATGACAGCAAACGGACACCTATCCGACTCGGTACGGAGGCTGACAAAAGTACGATCCTGACAGCCTCCTGAGAACAGGTCCTTATGCGACCTTGGACGCCCGACATGGCATTAATTATCCTCACTCCGACATTCACTAGTATAAATACCCACTCATGGGACACATTAATGGTAACTTCGACCAACTCCATTCTCTCTCTTATTTACTCACACTTCACTTCTCTCTCTAACTTAAGCATCGGAGGAGGTCCCAGGAACCCCCTGAGGACCTTTCTGCAGGGTTTCGGAGACCGCCCTCGACCATCGGAGCCTCACAAACCGCTTGGTACAATCCGAGCACAAACATTTTGGCGCCCACCGTGGGGCCCACGACTTTGTGGCGAACGAGATGGGAGACGACTTCGAAACCCCCCTCAAGGGGATGACCGAAAACAATACCCTTCGAGGCTTATTGCCGAGGGTCGAAGATGAAGCCGAGCTGGAGGAAGTGGTCAAGAGTCAAGGGATGCAAATCGCGAGCATGCAAGACAGCCTTTCCCAAATTCTTCAGCTCCTGAAGACCCGAGATGACCCCGCCGAGGGATCGAAGGGGAGGACGCGTGATGAGAAGCTGAAAGGCGCTCTCATCCTCGATAGCCCTGCTCGGACAGAAGGCGGAGGACTAGAGGCCGACGACACGGATCTTAACTTTCTAGAGGAGCATGTCGACATTCGGGAAGCACAAGAGCCCGAACGTTCTCCAAAACCCTCTATCGAAAGAGCTCTTCAAGACTCCGGTTCCCCCCAAATTCTCCTCTCTGGGACTACCTACCTACGGCGGGACATCCGATCCCGCCGACCATCTTTGCGCATTTATGCTAAAGATGCAACTCATCAACGCAACAGACTCGGATCTGTGTCGGGCGTTATCGGTTACCTTCAGCGGCCAATGCCGAACATGGTACACCTCCCTCCCGAAAGGGATTATAGAAAACTTTGAGCAGTTTGCGATGCTCTTCTCCACCAAATTCGCGTCTCAACGACGTCGCAAACTCACCGTCTCGGCACTCATAAATTGCCGGCAGAAGAAGGAGGATTCGCTTGCCGATTTCTACGACCGATGGAACGCGATAGCTTGCAAGATAGACGGCATCTCCCCCGTCGTGGCCACCGGAAACCTCCGAATCTCAACGACTAGCCTCGAGCTGAAAAGAACATTGATAAAAAAGGATGCAACCCTAACGGCCTGGTCCGACTTAGATCAATTGGTGCGCCGAGCGATCTTGTTGGAGGAAGCGCTAGCCAACGACGACCGAGGCCAGCAAGGCCGCCCCCGCGGAGACGCCTCAGAGCGTGGAGACTCCCGGAGGGGAAGGCGGTCTCCAGACCGAAGGTCGTACCGAAACAGGTATACTGATCGAGAAGGAAGAAGAGACGTGCTTTCCACCGACAAGGAAAGGGGCAGAGATCGAAAGAAAGGCGGAAGGAAGTACGAGACGTCTTCTGCCCAAGAACCGTAGGAAGGAAAGAAGTGGTGCGACTAGCACCAAATCACAACCCATGACACCACAGAGTGTAGAGAGTTCAAGGCTACGCTCCGACATCTGGCCCCGGGAGACCTAAGAAGCAAGCTAGAAATGAGGCGGTCTCATAGAGAGCACTCAATAGAAGAGCGGGAGGAGTCTCCGAGTCCCGAACAAGACAAGACAAGACGGGCGAGAAAGGAAAGATCAAGATCCCGCTCCCGAAACAAAGTCGCCTCCCCCTTGAGGCAGTCTCCCCCCTACAAAGCACCCGGGAACGACGATGACGGAATGGAAGTCATAACGATCGCAGGAGGGCGAAAGCGCCCAAGAACCGAAGGAGACCGCATCGCACAATGCCTCAACGTGCAACGCAGAGCACCGATAGAGGTCGCCTTCTTGCCCTCTGAGTTGGCCAACGAAGAAAACTCAGAGGACCCCTTGGTCATTTCCTTTCGAACCGCCAAATTCAAAATCACCAGAGCCCTAGTCGACAACGGGAGCTCGGCGGATATACTGTTCTACTCGGCGCTCAAAGGAATGAAGAAAACCGTCCAAGACCTCCAACCCTCCAACACCAGTCTGGTAGGGTTCTCAGGAACAAAAGTCTGTGTCCTCGGGTCAATCACCCTCAAAGTCACCATAGGAGAAGGCGGAGTTACAAAGACTCGTCCGGTGGAGTTCCATGTCGCGGACTGTCCTTCCGCCTACAACGCTATTTTAGGCTGCGGTTTCCTTGCAACTTTTGAAGCGGTCGCCTCAACCTGCCATCAAATGCTGAAGTTCCCAAGTGGAAGCCTAATAGGCTGCGTCCGAGGCAACCCCAAGGATGCCAAGGAATGCTACCAGGCGACGATTGGACATTTGGAGGTCGACCTGGTCGACACAAGGGATGACGTACCCCGTCCGGAGGCGGTTGAAGGCGATGTAGCGGTTCCTCTCAACGAAGAAGAACCAAGCAACACCGTGCGCATCTCGGCCCACTTGGTCAACGAGGAAGCTCAGAAATTACTATCCCTCCTCCGAGAGTTTCATGACCTTTTCGCATGGGGTCCGGAAGATATGCCAGGCGTCCCCCGCCGAGTCTCTGAGCACCGACTCTCCGTCAAGCCCAAAGCAAAGCCTATACAGCAGCGGAGGAGACACTTGTCGGTGGAAAAACAAATGGCACTTGAGGAGGAAGTAAGGCGCCTCCTAAAAGCTGGCTTCATATGAGAGGTCCAATACCCCACGTGGCTCTCCAACCCAGTCTTTGTACGAAGGGGCGGGGGCACCTGGAGGATGTGCATCGATTTCACCAGCCTCAATGCCGCGTGCCCCAAGGACGCATACCCTCTGCCCCGCATCGACAAACTAATAGATGGGACCGCCAACCATGAGGCGGTCAGCTTCCTGGATATGTTCTCAGGATACCACCAAATCAAGATGGCGGAGGACGATCAAGAGCTAACCGCATTCATGACACCCATGGGTAACTTCTGCTATGTAGTCATGCCATTCGGGTTAAAAAATTCGGGGGCTACCTATCAGAGGATGGTCGACGCGGTCTTCAAAAACCAGATGGGGAGAAATGTCGAAGCCTACGTGGACGACGTCCTAGTTAAAAGCAAAAAAGTCGGGGACCACCTCTCCGACTTACGGGAAACCTTCGAGACTCTGCGACGGAAAAACCTAAGGCTCAATTCACTCAAGTGCGTCTTCGGAGCCGAAGCAGGAAAGTTCCTTGGCTTCATGATCACGAAGCGAGGAATAAAAGCTAACCCGAAGCAGATAGAAGCCATCCGCAGCCTAAAACCGCCAAAGACGATCAAGGAAATCCAGGCGTTCAACAGTAAAATGGCCGCGCTTGAAAGGTTCATCCCGCGGTCTGCGGATAAGTGCTCCCCATTTTTTCAGATGCTCAGAAAGTCAGCCTCAAAACTCCAATGGGGTGCCGAGTGCGACAAAGCCTTCACCCTACTAACGAGTCAGCTAAGCTCACCACCAGTCTTGAGCGCCCCCATGAGTGGAGAGCGACTCTACCTTTACCTGGCGGTCTCCGAGCGAGCCGTGAGCTCCGTCCTGGTTCGAAGGGCAAAAGACGGTTCTGACCAGCCAGTGTACTATGTAAGCAAAGCTCTTCTCCCCGCCGAAACGAGATACATGCCAGTCGAGAAGGCGGTCCTCGCTGTTGCTTCCGCGGCCCGAAAGCTAAGATCGTACTTCCAAGAGCACCCCATCACAATACTGTCTAACCTTCCCCTCAAGAGCGTCATGCGAGGCATGGACGCCTCCGGGAGGCTGACGAAGTGGGCAATCGAGCTCAGCGAGTTCGACATAGAGTACGCCCCAAGGCCGGCCATCAAGGCCCAAGTTCTAGCAGACTTCATCGCCGAGGGATTCTCAATGGAAGGCGTTCCCTCCGAGGAGCATAATCACGTTTGGCGACTATTCATTGACGGAGCAGCAGGAAAAACCGTCTCGGGGGCAGGAATAGTCATTGAATCGCCGGACGGTGTCGTCCATGAAATCTCCCTACGATTCAAGGACATCAAAACCAACAACGTTGCTGAATACGAAGCCCTCATCAACGGACTTCGCATACTCACCACCCTGGGCGCTTCCGATGTGCATATATGCTCAGACTCTCTCCTGGTGGTCAAGCAAGTGCATGAAGCGTTCGAGATTAAAGATGAGAAGCTGGCCGTCCTGGATACCCAAGTGCGAAGCGCCCTAGCACAGCTAAACTCTTGGAAGCTAGAGCACGTGCGTCGGATGACAACCAGCATGCCGACGCGCTTTCCAAACTGGCCACTGCCATGGACTTTGAAGGCAATCGGCATGTCACCGTCACTAAGGAGCAGGACCAACAAGAGGAGATCATGGCCGTGGAGGAAGCGACCGATTGGAGGACGCCACTGATTCGATACCTTGAACAAGACATCACTCCCTCGCATCCGATCGAATGCAAGGCGCTCAAGCTCAAGGCGGTTCGGTACTCCATGGTGAACGGTCAATTGTGCAAGCGATCATTTTCGGGTGCATACCTGAAATGCCTAGGCCCTTAAGAGGCGCGGTGGACTTTAAAAGCGATACACCAGGGGACGTGCGCCACACATGCGAGGCCCAGGTCACTCGAAAGAACCGTCCTTTTGCAAGGATATTACTGGCCGACCATCAAGAGAGACGCCGCCGACGTCGTCTTAAAGTGTCACGCATGCCAAGTACACCCCTCCAAACACCACCTTCCCGGCTCCGAGCTGCAAAGCGTGGTCGGGCCATGGCCGTTCGCCAGATGGGGACTCGATCTCCTAGGGCCCTTTCCCACCGCCCCATTGGGAAAGAAGTACTTGGTAGTGGCTGTCGACTACTTTACCAAGTGGATCGAGGCAGAGCCGCTTGAGACCATCACCAGCGCCTGAGTCCAGAAATTCATGTTCAACAACATTATAATCCGGTTTGGCATTCCACACTTAATCATTACTGATCATTGCACACAATTTGACTGCAGGCCGTTTGAGAACTTCTGCACCCGAAACCGCATTACGTGCACGATGGCGTCGGTGGCGTACCCTCAAACCAATGGTCAAGCGGAGGCATTCAACAAGCTGATCCTCCAAGGACTTAAAAAGCATCTCCGAGATGCCAAAGGGGCATGGACGGTCGAACTCCCTCACATCCTATGGGCACATCGGACAACCTACAAGACGGCTACGGGTGAGACCCCCTTCGCCCTAACCTATGGCTCTGAGGCGGTCGCTCCTGAAGAAATGGTCCTGCCCTCCCTCCGCGTCCAAGCTTACCGCCCCGAGTCTAATCATCAAGGCTTGCTTGAACACTTGGATATGGTGGAATCTAGACGGGAGGCGGCCTTGGAGCGTATCATGAGTGAAAAGGCTAAAGTCGCGTCCAGCTATAACCAAAAGGTGAAACCGCGCCTTCTCGAAGAAGGCGACATGGTTCTCAAGCGAGACTTCCAGAAGAAAGACGAGCATGGCAAGTTGGCGGCCACGTGGGAGGGCCCGTTTCTCATTGGAGAAAAGACAGGCCCCAACACGTTTCGTCTTGCAACCATGGAAGGCGACCCAGTCTCCAAGACATGGAACGACATGCATCTACGGAATTACCACACAGACGTGCTCTGAGGTACCACATTCCCCAATGCAACAATTTACGGGTTGCTACCAAGCACCCGCTTTTGGATCTCTTTTGGTGGAGAGGGCCAGGCCCCACCACTTGTAACAGTGTATGGGTTGCTATCACGCACCCACTTTCCCTCACGTAATACACTGACAACTATTTCGGCCAACGCTTTGGACCTCGATATTCGCATTACGCAAGTTTTATGTCATCTAACTCAAAGACTCGTAAAACATACGAAACAACATGAATCTACTGTCCCGACCACTTAACAAAGGAAAAGGTATCACTGCCTCCGCAAAATAATGCATAAACCCGCACCAACGCGGTCGCAACAAACCACACGACAATGCCACGAGAAAATTCAATACCGTCCAAAGGCGGTCACCAGCGGCTATCTATGTTTCAACAAATAAAGAAAGAGCTGCTTAAGGCGCTCACTCTCGCAAAATCTTTTCTAACACAAGGCAAAGTCAACATTCGCTTCAACGCGGTCCCCCCAAATTGTCATCACATCATCCAAACACATAAACCCGCTCCAACGCGGTCACAACAAAAAGGTAAACATGAACACCTTTGGCAAAGCAAAGGGGAGAACCAATCGCGCACTGAGGCGGTCACCCACACTTGTCCACACCTCAATCACAAAAGAGAACTGTCTAAGGCGCTCATCCTCACTGAAAAGAAAGAACAACAAAATCAAAGATGTAGTCAGACAATCTCAAACGCCTGGCGAGCCCCTGCTCCCCGTCTCTCCTTCTCCTTCGCCTTCGGACCCTTCTTCATCTCCCGCTTCGTCATCCGCGGAGTCGTCCGCCTCCGAGTTCACATCGTCCGACGACCAATGTCCGATCGCATCCCAAACACGGTCTGCGTCCCAGGCCACGTCCGGACATTCCTCGCGGATCAGATGGCGGATGGCAGCCACAACATTGCCCACAACTTCCTTATATTTCGCCTTATCATAGGCCAAGAATTCAGCATATTTCAAATAAGCAGGACCGGCCGCGGCTTGTGCAGCGGCCACCACTATCTCGCGGTCCTTCAGCAGAGACGCCTTCTCTAGCTTGAGCGCGTCCATCTCCTTCCGCAGCATATCCTGTTCCTCAAGCAAAGCCTTCTCAATCGCGCTCGACTTTTGCACCATGGCTTCGAGGCGGTCCTTCTCCTCCCGAACGGCCTTAGTCGCCTCCTTCTCCGACACCAGTTCCTGATCCTTGCGTGCCAATTGGTCCGCGAAATCCTTCTCAATCTGCGACCGCAGTTCCTCTATCATGGCTGCTCGACCCTCACTCAGGCTTTTCTTCAGATTCGCGATCTCGACCGTATCATCGTCCACGGTCTTTGACAAGCGGTCATTCATCAGAATGAGTTGAGAAAACCCGATCTGCGCCTGCAAGCAAACGATAGGGCAATACTAAAAACTTCGGCACTGGCCAAACAAACAGAAAAATCACAACCACTAACCCTGAAGAAAAATTGCGACGCGGTCCCGGCCAGACGACGGTTGCTCTCCGACGAAGTCGCTATATACTCGTTAGGCATCTCAAGTAGCTCGCTGATGGTATGGAGAGCTAACTCAGCGGCTTCGGTATCGACCGCAGCCAAAGAAGGGATCGCCACGGAGCTGGACTTGGTCGACCGCTTCGGGGCAGGACCGAGCTTTTCCCCAGCCTTGGTGTGAGGGGAGCCAACCTTGGCGCGCTTCGAAGCCGCCTCAAGGACCCCGCGTTCCATCACCCTCTTCCCCGCAGCCCTACCAATGGCAACGGAGGATGTGCTAGCCGCACCGGACGGTTTCACGGGAGACTGCGTTTGGGGAGCGGTCGACAGGTCAATCACCTTAGCCGCAACAGAAGTGGGCGCGTCTCCTATTTGGGTGGTCCTCCCAGCCTTCTTCTTCTTCGGTCGGTTGGCGTCCGCCAACTCCCTCAACCCTGGATAAAGAAAGCATAAGTAAAAGCACATGAGAAAGATAAGCATACAAATCCACAAACACATTACTAACCATAAAAACCGCGGACGAGCTGGTATGCACTGTTAGAACCACTATGCTGCACGCGAAACTGGACGCCTTCTATAATCCTCGCCACATGGTCCCGCACCGATTGAGGAAACTGACCAGACTCACACCATTCATATTTGGACCCAACCGCATAGCCGGTGAGCGGTTCTGCATCGCCCGCATACCATTTCCACGAAGGGCGGGCAAAAAAGTACTCCTTGTACCACGGTGAATCAAGCTTGGGCGCCCCAGTAACGAAACCCACCGAGTTTTCCCGCCTCCCAATCGACCAACAGTTAGTCGAGTCTCTAATGTTATAAATCATCCTGAATGCATCAAACGAGGGCTCCTCCTTGAGGCGCTCACACGCCAAACGATACATGATCGAATGAAAGATAATCGTAGGCGAAAGGCGACCCAGAGTGCATTGCAGTCGATGCAATATCCGCGTCAGGAGGTCGTCAAGAGGAAACTGCAGCCCGAGCTTGACATGTTCGACCAAGATCGGGATCCAACCGCGGGGGAAGGATCCAATGCGGCTCCTCGCAGATGGAACCGCATAGAGCCAATCCGAAGGCATCCGCAACGACTTAAGCCGGTATAGCACCTGTTCAGGCTTAAAGGCCGCCACGTGAGGAGGACCTTGCTCGAAAACCTCTTCAGGGACGGGCTTTCCATCCCACATGCCCGCATGACGAAGAACAGTGTACACAGAATCCCTGATGGCAATCGGAGGCGGCCTCGGTTCTCCATTCTTCGAAATTTCTAGAGAAGAGGAGGCACTAGAATGCGTCCCAGACCGCACTCCGTCACTATCGACCTCCTCCAAATCTTCCAGCAAGATGCTTTCTAAACCTACCCGATCAAATTCCCTCGGATTATCCCCGACCGCAGACGAGGTAGCCACAACCCCAACTGCTGCAGGGTGGAGGTTAGCATGCAAATTATCTACGTCTACACAAGCCCCGACAAGGCAGTCTGATAGACCGTTAATTACACATGTTTTTACCCCTGTTCTTACACCGTTTGAGGTGTTGATTCTCGTGTTTTAGGCCGATTTCACGCTAGGTTGTGCTTGTTTGTCATATTTCAGGTCCTAGTACGTGAATGGAGGCTTGGGAGCGAGTTTGGGGTCGATTGTACGAGAATCGGACGCGTGGCGAGGTGCTAAGGAAGCTGCACGGGCATTCCTGGAAACCACACGGCCGTGCAACACACAATTGTGGCCGTGTGGTTATTGTCGAGAGCATGCACGGGCAGGATGGAGACCCCGCACGGCCGTGCGACCCTGGCCGTGTGGGAAGCCTAAGTTCGAACTAATTGGAACGCCGCGTTTTGACTCGCACGGGCAACTGGGTGAGCCACACGGCCGTGCGGCCTGCCCGTGCGAGTCGGGGAATCTTGGGTTTTCAGCCAATTTCGAGCCACAAGGGGGAGGATCGGACTTTTGGAGCAAAAACAGAGCCCTAGAGAGAGAAAGTACGAAGAACACATCCTAGAAGCTATTTTGGAGCTGGGTTTCATCAAATCAAGCTTGGAGATCGTCATAGGAGTGGAAATCATCATCCCAGAGCAGATTTTCCTCATCTTTATGAGTATGACTACTCTGATTACTGTTTTCTTCTCTCTTTCTATGGAGTAGAACCCCTCTCTCACTTGGGGATGAAGAACCCTAGTTCTATGTGTTAGGGATTGATTGTAATGACTTGGGATGATATTACTGTTTGATTTTAATCGAATGATGCATGTTTATTGAGTCAATTGAAGTCTGATCAACTTTTCCTAATTCCTGCTGCAATCTGAGATAGATAGAATCTGATTAGGTTGCTAGAGTCTCATCATTCGATAGTAGGAGATTGGCTATACGAGAGTTAGCCAGTTTACTGCTTTGTACTGGAATCCAATTCCAGTAGTGGAGTTCTGTTCTTACTGCTTCAGCTTTCTATCCCGGTGAAGACTAGTCGTCTGCCGGGTAGTTAGACTGAGAGGGCTTGGTCAGCTTAAGAGATTCCAAGCTACTGTCGGATCTTCGCAGTCTAATCAACAGTAAATCAACCCAGGGAAATTGTAATTGAAACCTAACTAAAGAGCTAGGGGGATTCATTCCCGAGTGACTCTTTCCTGCTTGAGAAAACCGAATAATTTCCTGCTTTATTTCTGCTTTTGCTTTTAAACAACAATCACTTACTTTAGTTGGCTAGATAACAGAGAATCACTGAGTAAGCAGTAGATCTAGACCCCGGGTTGATAATATAACTTGCCTGTTACTGCATTCCCGGTCTGCGATTACACTTGGTCGCAGATTGGTGTTGTGTTTTGGCGCGTCAAGTTTTTGGCGCCGTTGCCGGGGAACCCTCTAGGTTATTGGGGAAACGTGAGAATTTGTTACTCTAGCTTTTTATTTACTGCATTCTATCTCTTCCACCTATGTGCCTTCACGGGTTGCTTCTGCTGATTGTGTGCAGGTAGTGCATGACCCGTAGCCAGTCGGGAGATCTACTACCACTAGACCAAGAGCTTGAACGAACCTGCAGAAACTTCAAGCGGGCTCTAAAGGCGCGACTGGCTCCGGAGGAGGCGCTATCAAAGCTGCAGTTAGAAGAAGAGGAAGAAGAGATGGCTGATCCACAGGGCCATGCTGTGATCGATCCTGAGGAGCAGACCATGGGACATTACTGGACCGCCAGGGCTGCAGACATGAGGTCACCTATTCAACACCCTCATGTCCCAGCCAATAATTTTGAAGTGAGCACCTCAGTAATCACCATGCTGCGCGGTTCGGTGATGTTCCGTGGCAAGGAGGGGGAGTGCCCCCGATCACATTTAAGGCGATTCCATGAGCTCATTGATGGAATCAAGATCAATGGGGTACCCGCAGATGCCATCCAGCTGAGGTACTTCCCATTCACCCTGGAGGGGCAGGCCAAGGAGTGGCTAGACACTCGACCTCCAGGCTCCATCACCACGTTCGCCAACCTGGCGGACAAGTTCCTCACCCGCTACCATCCTCCATCCAAGACAGCTGACTTGCAGAAGCAGATCACCCACTTCACCCAGACGAAGATGAGACCATCAGGGATGCTTGGGAGAGATACACCAGTCTTTTCCTCAGGTGTCCCAATCATGGTTTCAATGATGCGTTCAAGGTAGGCACCTTCTATCACGCCCTTTTCCCGGAGGAAAAGCAGCTGATTGATTCGGTTTGTGGCGGGAACATGCTGACCAAAACACCGCCACAGCTGAATCAACTCTTTGAGGAGATGGCGGAGAACGGGTATGATTGGGGCACTGCCAGGAGATCGAGACGAGCACCAGGCCGGGGTGTGCATGCTGTGGGCACCCAGTCATCTGATCTGGTGCAGGTGGTATCGAAGCTGGTTTCAGCTATCGATCGTTCTGGTTTGATTGCAGGTACAGGACAGCCGCAGGCGATGCACTGCCAGTGGTGTGAGAGCTCCCATCACACCGTAGAGGACTGCCAGGCGATGAGGGAATCGTCTACTCCCCAGGAGCAGGTGTACTTTATCAGTAATGCCAGGCGCTTCGACCCCTACAACAACACTTATAACGAGGGGTGGCGCCAGCATCCTAACTTTTCCTAGGCTGGGGCAAATCCCAAACCACCAGCTCCCTAGGGACCATCTGGCTTCCAGATGCCTCCGTACCAGCCCAGACAGGGGCAATTTCAGCAGCCACAGCAGCCACTCTACCAGCCCAGACAGGGGCCAGTTCCACCACAGTCACAGGTGCGACCATTTCAGCAGACAGGAGCAGCACCTGCAGCCCCAGTACAGAGTGACCCGATGGCGGAATTGAGAGATTTGGTGGGTTCTCTGGCCACCTCTAGTGCGAACAAGTTCAATAACATCGAGCAATTCATGGAGAAAGCTTCAGGCAAGTTCTTGGAACTAGAAGCTGGTCAGAGAAATACACAGGCTGTGCTACGGGATATACAGACCCAGCTTGGGAGTGTTGCCCAGGATGTAGCACAGAGGACTCCTGGTACCTTGCCTGGTCAGACCATTCCTCATCCGCAGGATCCGAATGCCAACTGCAGTGCCATCACAACCAGGAGTGGCAAGGTGACTGCCGATCTGCCTGTTCGGGCAGAGGAGAGAGAGACCCCTGCTTCAGCACTTCCAACTAATCAGGAAGACATGGAGAAGGAGGTTGAGGTGCCTGCTCCTAAACCGCAACCAGTGGTGAAGGAGTATGTACCACAACTTCCCTTTCCTACTCGGTTGCACAAGGACCGACTGGAGACTGAGTTTGCCAAATTCATGGCAATGCTGAAGTAGGTAAACATTAGCATGCCGTTCGTGGAGGCATTATCGAAGATGCCCAAGTATGCCAAGTTCATGAAGGATCTCCTCACCAACAAGAGGAAGCTTGGGGAGCTGTCAACGGTGATGCTCAACGAGGAGTGTTCTGCCATCCTGCAGAACAAACTACCAGAGAAGCGAAAAGACCCAGGGAGTTTCACTATCCCTTGCATGATTGGTAGTTTGCATGTAGGGAAGTCCTTGGCGAATTTAGGCGCTAGCATAAATGTCATGCCTTATAAACTGTTTAAAAAGCTAGGCCTAGGTGAACCCAGTGATACTAGGATGAGCATCCAGCTTGCTGATAGATCCATTGTGCATCCTAGGGGTATAGCAGAGGACTTGATAGTCGCAGTAGGGCCATTTTCATATCCTGTTGATTTCGTGATTTTGGACATAAATGAGGATGTTGATGTGCCATTGATACTGGGTAGGCCTTTTCTCGCCATCGCCAAGGCGCTTATTGATGTTAATGATGGAAAACTGATTTTGAGAGCTGGGGGTGAACAAATCACCTTCTCTGTTTCTGATAATATGAAACACCCTCAGCTCCATGATGATCTAGATTACTTTGATGTTGTTGCTGATTTTGAGACCGCACTCGCCATCACGAGTGCGGGTACTGATGATTTCCTTGAGCGTTGTCTTTTGCTAGGGGAACAGGCATCACAGGACATGCAGTTGGAGGAGCAGCTCGCGGAGCTAGATGAGGCCATGATCGAGGGGCGAGAGATACCATTCAAGCCGATCCCTATCTTGCCCCGGATTGCTACATCATTGGAGGAGCCACCAGAGCTGGAGCTTAAGCCCCTCCCCTCTCACCTGGAGTATGCATTTCTCCGGGAGGGGAATAAGCTACCGGTCATCATTAGCTCGGATCTGACACCCGAGCAGAAGAGCAGGCTGGTGGCTTTGCTGCAGAAGTATGCCCGGGCCATGGCATGGAAGATCACAGACATCAGAGGCATTAGCCCATCCTTCTGCTCCCACAGAATTCTGATGGAGGATGAGGTTAAGCCAGTCAGGCAGCTGCAGAGGAGATTGTCTCCTAACTTGGAGGCAGTGGTCCGGGCAGAGATTGTGAAGCTCATGGATGCAGCGATCATCTTTGCTATATCTGATAGCAAGTGGGTCAGCCCCACTCAGGTGGTCCCGAAGAAAGGCGGGATGACTGTGGTCCCGAATGAGAAGAAGGAGTTGATCCCGATGCGGACCGTGACCGGCTGGAGAGTCTGCATCGATTACCGGCGCCTGAATGACGCCACCAGGAAAGATCATTTTCCCCTACCTTTCATTGATCAGATGCTGGAGAGGTTGGCTGGCCATGAGTTCTATTGCTTCCTGATGGCATGTCTGGTTACTT